CTCTAATTCCACGCACGCACACACGAGATCCGAGGGGAACCAGGGGGACCCCAAAAAAGGCGAAAAACCCCACAGCAACCGGTGCCAGAAGAAAGCAAAACCCAGCCGGGGCGGGGAGGGGGCGGCCGGGGGGGCCCTGGCGTGGCCCCGGGGGGGGGGCCGGGGGGGGGCACGGGGTGGCCCCCCCTCACTTTTTGTTCTTGAGCTGGTTGGCGAGCCAGTCGAGGCCCTCGTAGAGCCCGTCCCCGCTGGTGGCACAGGTGGCCTGGATGTACCAGTTACGGTGGCGCAGGGAGTGCAGCCCCAGCTTGTCCGTGATCTCCGCCGCGTTCATGGCGTTGGGCAGGTCCTGGGGGGGCACAGGGAGGGGCATCACGTGCTGGCCATCACACCGCGGGGGTGGGCACGGCCCTGCCATGGGGGCTGGCACCAGCCCTGATGCCACGGGGATGGACGTGGTCCTGCCGTGGGGTCTCTTTGACACCAGCCTTGGTACCACGGGCATGGGCACAGTCCTGCTACAGCAGGGGCGGGATACCAGCCCTGACACCCTGGGAATGGGCTCCTGGAACAGCCACCCAGATACCAGCCCTGACACCCCGGGGATGGGCACACTCCTGGTACAGCCCTGACGCCCTGGGGACGGTCTCAGCCCTGCCACGGGGGCCCTGCCCGCCCCCAGACCCACCTGCTTGTTGGCAAAGACGAGCAGGACGGCGTCCCGCAGCTCATCCTCCGCCAGCATCCGCATCAGCTCCTCCCGCGCCTCGTTCACCCGCTCCCGGTCGTTGCTGTCCACCACGAAGATCAGCCCTGGGGGACAGGAGCGGGCACTGCTGGGGTCCCTGGTGCTGGCGGGGCCCCCTCGGCCGCCCTCACCCCCGTGTCCCCCCCCCCCCGTGTCCCCCCCAGGACACGCACCCTGGGTGTTTTGGAAGTAATGCCTCCAGAGGGGCCGGATCTTGTCCTGCCCACCCACGTCCCACACGGTGAAGCTGATGTTCTTGTACTCCACCGTCTCCACGTTGAACCCTGCGGGCAGCGACAGCAGAGGGAAACTGAGGCACGGGGAGCCACGAGCCCCCTCGGAGGAGAGCCCTGATGGGGAGGGGTCCGCGCTCGGTGCCCCCGCAACCCCACCCACCGATGGTGGGGATGGTGGTGACGATCTCCCCCAGTTTGAGCTTGTAGAGGATGGTGGTCTTCCCGGCGGCGTCCAGCCCCACCATCAGGATCCGCATCTCCTTCTTCCCGATCAGGCTCTTCAGCAGGTTCCCGAAGATGTTGCCCATGGTGACGGCGGCGCTGGCTCCGAGGCCGGATCCTGCGGGGGCACGGGGCAGGCTGGGGGTGGCCCTGAAATCTGCAGGGAGGGGGCTGTAGGGATCCCCCGTGCTCCGGGGGGGGCTGCGGGGATGGGGGAGCCCCACGTCCCGGGGGATGCAGGGCTTGGGGGACCCCAAGTGAGGGGCTGAGGAGTGGGTCACGCACTCCGTGGGGGTGTCCCTGTGTGCAGCTCGATATGGGGGGGCTGTAAGCAGGGGGGGCCCACCCTGCAAGGGGACAGCCCAGGGTGCTGCACAGGGGGAAACTGAGGCAGAGATCGCCCCCTACTCGGGGGGAGCAGAGCCCCCCCGTCCCCGACCCCCCCTCTGCACTTCCAGCCCCCGCATGATCCCCCCATCACCGCAGCCTCGCCGGGGGGACCCTCATCGCCCCCCCCGCACCGCAGAGCGCCCCCCCCCCCCAGATCCGTGTGCAGCCGCCCGCCCCCGGGACCCCCCGAATTCACCTCGCCCCCCATCCCACACCACCCCCCATCCTCCCAAATCACCGTCCCCCCCCCGCACTGCGCCGCCCCCCCGCGCCGCATCGCCCCCCGCCCCCGCCCGCCGCACCGCACCGCACCCCCCCCTCCCCCGGTACGACCCCCCCCCTCCCCACCCCTCCGCTCCCGGGGCTCCGCACCCCCCGCCGCACCGGGAACCCCCGCACGCGCTGCAGCCCCCCCCCCCCCCCGCGGGGCCGGTGCGGTGCCGACCCCCCTGCGCGCGTGTGTGTCCCCCCCATCCCGCCCCCCGGCGATGCCCGCGCCCCGCATCCCCCCGCGGTGCGGCGCGGGCCCCCCCCCCGCACCTGGTGCCGGTGCCGGTGCCGGTGCCGCCCCCGCCGCCGCTGACTCTGCACCGCTCCCGCCGCCGGAAGCGGAGGCCCCGATCGCGCCGATCTCGCGAGAGCGCCCGGTGCCCCCCCCCCCGCCGCCCCGCACCGCTTCCCGCACACCCACACCCCCCCCCCCGCACCGGGACCGGGGGCGCGCGCGGGGAGCGGCGGGGGGGGTGCGGGGGGGATGGAGGGGGTGCAATCGCGAGAGCCGCGAGGCGTTACCATGGCGACGGATGCAGCAGTGCGGGGCGGGGGGGGGCTCGGAGGGGGGGTCCCGGTGTCGTTCTCCGCCCACACCCCCCGCCGTGAGCCCCTCCACTTCGGGGGGACCCGCACCGGGGGTTCGGGATGGGCCGGTGGGGAGCGGGGGGGTCCCGGTGCTCCCCCCCCGCTCCGTGCGCACCGGGAGAGGCAGAACCCCGTCCGACCCCGGCGTGCCCTGTGCTTCACGGGGGGGCGGGGACCCCAAAACGTCACGGGGGTCCCGGGCATGCTCCCCCCCCATACGGGAACCCCGGGCCGGGCTGAGCCCGCCCGCGCCGTCCCGGTACCGGCTGTAACGAGGCCGTCCCGGTGCTCACGGACAGGGCAGGGACTGGCAGCGGGTGCGGTGGACCCCCGGGTCCCCCTCCACGTCCGTATGTCCCCGTTGTCCGTCCGTCCGCCCCTGCCTGGTGCGACGGGACGGGACGGGCGCCCCGGCCCCCGGACCGGTACCGGCGGCCACCCTGAGGGCACCGGCAGCACCGACCGCCCCGACGGCTGCGGGAACGGCTCCACCGAACCCCTGGCGCTGGGGGCGGTTCCCGAGCATCGCTCTTCGGGCCGCCGTCGGGTCGCAGCAGAGGGGATGGGGGGCAACGGGGCCTCGGGACAGCGGGCAGGGGGTGCGGGGGGGCCGGAGGTCCCGGAGAATCCCGGGATGTAGCGGGGGAGGCGCGAGCCGTGTTTGGGCCCCGCCGCTGGTGGCACAACCCCGGGCAGGGCCCTCTCGGCCGCGCCCCGGGGCCTCCCCGCGGCCGCTGACCTCAGCCCCGGGAGCCCCGACGGGGCGGCGGCCGGAGGGCGCGGACACGGCCCGGCCCGGCCGGGAACCGGGGCGGGGGGAGGCGGGAGAGCCGTCCTGGATCAGACCCCGGGGCGGCCCTGGGCCCCTGCCGGGCCGGGGGAGGGGGTGCGAGGGGTGCCCGGCGCGAGCCCCCCGCCGCCGCCGTCCCGGGCTTTGTCCGTCCCTGAATTGAACTGATGAGCGGCGGCCCCGGGCCGTGACGGGCGAGTGGGGCTAATCCGGCCCCGCATGACTGGTCCGGGGAAACCGCGGCGGGGGGATTACACCCCCCGGGCCCCGCCCCAACGGGGGGCTCAGCTCAGCCCCCCCGGCCCGCCCGGCTCCGCACCCGGGACTTCACACCCGCCCGGGGACAGCGGGGACAGAGCCTTGTCCCAAGCGAGACCGGGCCACCAGCACCGGCCCTGCGTGACCGTGTCCTGGCCGTGGGCGCCCCGGACCACCCCCCCTGCGTCCGGGCACCCCCTGCCCTTCATTCTTCTATCTCCCTCAGTCCCTCCGTCCCCCCTGTTCATCCGCCCCTCTGACACACCCGGTGCCGGCCCAGACCGGGCGCCCCGGGGCAGCGGGAGCCGTGCGGGGCCGTGCCGCCCCCACGTGGGTTGTGCATTCCGTAGGTGTCCACGGCACGTTCACGAGGGTGCGGGGTGCCGCCAGGACAGCCCGGGACAGCCCGGGACAGCCCTGTCGCGCCGGGCACGGATCGGGACGGGAGGGGGATCTGGGGGCTCCGGACCGGCACCGTCACCAACGCGGCTCCGGTGGTCCTACGTCCCGGGGGGCTGCACGTCCTGTCCCCCGCAAAGCCGGTGGCCCCTGAATTCTGCCTACCCCGTGCGCCCGGGGCTGTCCCGGGAGATCCCGTCACTCCACCTCCCCGTGCACCCCGGGCTGTCCCGGGAGATCCCGGGCTATCCCCGTTCCCCACTCCCTCCGTACGCCCGGAGCCGTCCCGGGCCGTCCTGGGCTATTCCGGAACCGGCTCCTCCTTGTGCCGGGAGCTGCCGCGGGTCGTGCTGGGCTCCCCCCGCCGGTGCCGGTAGAGCGTGTGCGAGGGGCGGCGGGGAGGGCGGGGGACGGCAGCCGGGGGCTCTGGGCACGGGGCCGGGGCGCAGCCACCCGCCGGGCTAATCCGGCCCGTGACGGACAGCCCCGGCGCCGCCGCTCCCGCCGCCCCGTAAGAGGTGCCGCGGCTCCGCCGCTCCCCATTGTTAGGGCGAGGACGCGGGGAGGCCCCGCGCGGCGGGACCGGCCCACGGGGACCCTCCGCGCCGCCCCTATAAGAGGGAAGGGGCTGGAAGATGCTCCCGGGTGCTGAGCGCTGCGCACCCGCCGCGCCGAGCCGAGTCCAGCCGGGCCGCCTCTCCGGGGAGCCGCCGGCACCGAGCACCGGGCACCGGGTCCCGCGAACGGACCGCAGAGAACCGGTACCGACACGGGGTACCGCGCCCGGACTGCCGAGCGCCGGGTCTGCAGCGGCGGCACCGCGCACGGAGCACCCGACGCCGCGCTCCAGGGACCGGGCAGGGAGCGCCGGGCACCGCACCCCCGACGCCGCGCCCCGGCCACCGGCTGCACCCCTGTGCCGGTGCCGGTGCCGGCCCGCCCGCCCGGCGCTCCCCGCGTCCCCCCGCGGCCGTCCTGATCTCGGAGCCGCCCCGCGCGTCCGGAAACACGCGTGGATGTAGCGGCCGGGCCGGGGGCTCCGCGGCACCATAAATACCGGGACGGCCGCTCGCCCGCGCACTCTGCCGGGGCTCCCGGGGCCGGAGCCATGCGCGCGGCCGCGCTGGGGCTGGCGCGCCGGGCGCTCTGGGCTCTGGCCCTCTCCTCCCTCTCCAACACGCTGGCGGTGAACAACAGCGGGCGCTGGTGGTGAGTCCGACGGCACCGGCACCGGTACCAGTACCGGGGCAGTGGAGTGGGAAAGAGGGGCTGGCACCGGCGCAGCAGCAGCTGCCCCGTACCCAGGGATGGGGCACATGGAGGGACACAGGGCTGCGATCCCCGGGGTGGGATCCCTGCGGGGGATACCCGGGGAGGAGGATGCTCCAGTAGTATCAAGGAGTCCCCGGGGAGGTTGAGGTGAGGAGGGAGATGCCGGGGACCCCCCCGCTGGTGGTCACCGTCCCCACCTGTGCCACAGGGGCATCATCAACGTGGCCTCGTCCACCAACCTGCTGACGGACTCCAAGAACGTGCAGCTGGTGCTGGATCCCAGCCTGCAGCTGCTGAGCCGCAAGCAGCGCAAGCTGATCCGGCAGAACCCCGGCATCCTGCACAGCGTCAGCTCCGGCCTCCAGACAGCCATCAAGGAGTGCAAGTGGCAGTTCCGCAACCGCCGCTGGAACTGTCCCACCTCGCAGGGCCCCAACATCTTCGGCAAAATCGTCAACCGGGGTGAGGCTGCAGGGGCAGCACGGGGGGCCCCCAACCCCCTGCGTGCACCCCCGAGCCGGGATGCTCGGCAAAGAGCCCCTGGTTTGCCGTGGGGCATCACCAGCCTGTCGTGGTGGAGGGTTGGGGGTGCTGCTGGGTGCCCCCTCCCCACCCTGGCAGCACCCTGAGGCCCTGCTCCCCTCCGCAGGCTGCCGGGAGACGGCGTTCATCTTTGCCATCACCAGCGCCGGCGTGACGCACTCGGTGGCCCGGTCGTGCTCCGAGGGGTCCATCGAGTCCTGCACCTGCGACTACCGGCGCCGTGGCCCCGGGGGGCCCGACTGGCACTGGGGGGGCTGCAGCGACAACATCGACTTCGGGCGCCTCTTCGGGAGGGAGTTTGTGGACTCCAGCGAGAAGGGCCGAGACCTGCGTTTCCTCATGAACCTGCACAACAACGAGGCCGGGCGCATGGTGAGGGCACCAGGGGCACGGTGAGGGCACCAGGGGCATGGTGAGGGCATGCCCTGAGGGGCTTCAGGCAGCACTGGTGTGGGCACTGGGATGGGCACGGCCACCAAGCCCCCCAGCCTGTCCCCATGTGCGGGTTGGGAACTGCCAGAGAAGAGTCTCTCACTTGGCTTTGGGAGGCTGAGCACGATGCGATGCTGTGGGGAAATGGGGTGCAGGAGCTCCGTGGTCCTCGGGGTGGGCAGGGGGGCTCCAGGCTGCTCACAGCGCCCCAAACCCCCCTCTTCCCTTCCAGACGGTCTTCTCGGAGATGCGCCAGGAGTGCAAGTGCCACGGCATGTCGGGCTCCTGCACCGTCCGCACCTGCTGGATGCGGCTGCCCACCTTCCGCGCCGTGGGCGACGTCCTGAAGGATCGCTTCGACGGCGCCTCCCGCGTCATCTACGGCAACAAGGGCAGCAACCGGGCGTCGCGGGTGGAGCTGCACCACCTGGAGCCCGAGAACCCGGCCCACAAGCCGCCCTCGCCCCACGACCTCGTCTACTTCGAGAAGTCCCCCAATTTCTGCACCTACAGCGGGAAGACGGGCACGGCGGGCACGGCGGGGAGGTTCTGCAACAGCTCCTCGCCGGGGCTGGACGGGTGCGAGCTGCTGTGCTGCGGGCGCGGGTACCGCACGCGCACCCAGCGCGTCACCGAGCGCTGCAACTGCACCTTCCACTGGTGCTGCCACGTCAGCTGCCTCAACTGCACCAACACCCAGGTGCTGCACGAGTGTCTGTGACCCCCCCCCCGGCCCCCCGGGACCGCCCTGCCCAGCCCCGGAGGGGGTCTGTGCCACACGCCCCCCATGACGGGTGCCCGGCTGGATTGGAGGCGCCCGTGGGCGGGGGTATGGATGTGCCCCCCAGGGACCCCCGTCCTGCCACGGGTGGGCTCGGTGCCATGCACCTTCCCGGCCCCCCCCCGGCTCCACGGGGTCCCCTTCTCGCTGTAAATAAAATATTTATTGTGGACGGTTCGACGCCGTCGCCCCCTCCCCGCTTCGCTGGCCCCAGGCCCTGTTTTTTGTAATTAAAGAAAATAATAATTAATAATAATTAATAATAATGATGCTTTGTTACAGGTGTCACTGATAGCCTTTAGAGAAGAATAAAGGATATATTTTTATCAGTCCTGACCTGATCCGTGTCTGGGGGGCTGAGGAAGGGAGGGTACAAGCTTGGGGAGGGGGGACACCAATGTCCCCCACACTGTGGGGTCTGCTGCCCACATC